TCTGAAAATCGCATTTATAGTATAATATTATTTAAAAATCTTACATATTGTTAATACCGATTTTTAAATTAGTTAATTAATTTCTTGTTAAACATCTAAATAAAAATAAGCAAAATAAAATTTGATATGATAAACTACCAAACTGTACACAGTATAAATAAACACAAATAATATAATTCCGGGCCACTCTACCTATAACTAATAATGTCAGCACTAGAAATGTTATTAAGGGTTGTATGTATTATTTTATTTTTTCCATATTTTCTAGGAATTGCTTTATTGTGAAACATGTGATCAAGTATTCTGCTCAGTTTGTACTAAACACGAGACAGCAATTGGTGGAGGCACCCTTATTTCATCTAAATCTCCACCATTGGTTCATACAATCATACCAGTGTCTGTAGCTATGAAACGTACATCTGAAATAATGTTGTATAAAGCTAATGAATGTGTTTCAAAAGTATGTGTCGCTGATATTTATGTGTTATACAAATGTTGGTGGTATACATATTAATTTAAATGAATTGTAATTCATTTAAATTATAGTTGAACTATTCAAGGGATGGAGTATGTGCTGAACTAGAACGTTTAGATACAGCTCGTAATGAATGTTTATCTACTTTGGATGATACATTTAGTGATCTGATGAACATAATAGAAGTCCGTAAACAACAATTGCAACAACAAATACATAAGGCATGTGATGCAAAAAATAGAATTTTGACTCAACAACTCTCAGCTATTGATATTGAAAAAACCAAAGTATGTATAGAACCGATGTGATTATTAGTTATTACTTAGTTTTTGTTGTGTTATCACTTGTCAATCATTAATCATTATATGTTTATTACATTATTTAATGTATGCCTAGGTTATGGATGAATGTGGCAATGTTAATCAATTATTGGATGTACAATCTATTAACCAACGAATACAAATTTTAAACGATCGTTTGCAAAAACCTACTGGCGGTGTTGAAGAACCTCGTGAAAATGCTTTTATTGCCTTGGATTTAGATCTAACAGCAATAAAAGATGTTGTAAATAATGCCATAGGACAAATGGGTCGGGTACGCACTACAACCACTTGTCCTGGTAATTGTACACTGGATGTTGCTGAATCAAATGGTAATGTTGTTTGAATCAAATATCAATTCAAAAAAACTTGTTTATAGTATTAAAAATATCTTTGTATTTTTAGGAGAACATTTGTTGATTCCTCGTTTGGTAGATACACTGGTTGCTACTTTAACAGCTGTTGACTATGATGGGAATCGTCGCAATTTAGGTGGTGATCCAGTTATTATAAAATTAGTTGGACCTTTAGATGACACACAACAAGAAATGGCATCAAATAATTTAGGGCTTCAACACTTAGATAATAATACTAGTGATGATAGAGTGCGGATTGTTGATCATAAAAATGGGCAATACACAATCCGTCTACGTTTATCTGTTTGTGGCAGGTATATACATTGAGAATTACTAATGTAAAAAAACTTTGAACAAAAAATGTATTAATTTGACTTCTATTTTTATATATTTTAGGTATCAACTTCTTGTTTATGTGCTAGGTAGACTAGTAGCATGTAATGGTAATACTGGACATATTGACTTTTCTATAATAAAAAGCATTGATCCTATGTGCCAATATAGTAGAGGACCTTCAATGCAACAGCCTGTTGCAATTGCTGTAGATCACCATTCTGCTAGGGTAAGATGCTAAAAAATTATTTACAATATGATATAAAAGTAATATGCATCTCATTAAAATAATTGTTTTTATCATTTCTAGGTGTATGTTTTAGATACTGGAAATTGTCGCATAAGAGTGCTTGATACCCACTTAAATTATATATCTGATGTACAAAACATTGAAGCTATGCGTGGTCGTTCTTCAACTGGTATTGGTTTATTGAGCGATGAAACGTTAGTTACAGTAAATTGGCGTACAAACACAGTGACTCAGTAATAATTCCAAAGTATATTTATTTACTCATGGTTATAAGAAATATTTTTTATTTTTAGAATGACTTTAGATGGTGAAACAGTGAAGTCGTGGACACATTCGAGTATGATTGAGCCTATGTGTGTTGCAGTGGACAGAACTTATGATCACGTATTAATAGGAGATTCTGCTTGTAACATACATGCATTCAAAGCAACAACAGGACAACATTTATTTACAGTAAGGATAACACAAATATGATAAAAAATGTTGTTATAACGTAAGAAACTAATTGTTTGATAATAAATGTGAGTCTTAAATTTATTTTTCATTCATGTTATTGTGCTAATGTATATTTTTTAATTTTCATCTTCTCTACATGTACCATAATAATTAATATTTATATTTAATTTTTAACCTATAATTTTAAAATTTGAGTTCAGAATATATTGTTGGATTATTTCTATGTGTAATCCAACAGTTTACACGTATTAATTATTATAATTTTTTTTATAGATAAATAATAAGAAAAGTAATGGAAAATCTGCTGAATGTGTTGGTACCTTTATGGCAATTGGGCCACATTCAGAAATCATTGTAATTTCTGGTATAACTACAACTGGATGTCGCTGTTTAGATATATATTCATGCAAAGGCACTTATGAACGATCAATTACAGTTATGACAACAGATAAATGTAAGTAGTTGGTAAAAATATTAATAATCTTTTAATAAATGGTCTTACTTCTAAGTAATATATGTTTTCACTAGCCACACATGCATATAGCTCATTGGCTACTTGTAATAATTTTATACTGGCTACTAGACGCCACTATAACTCATACGTAATTGACTTGATTGATATGGAAACTGAAAAATTAGTAAACACTATTGATTCCAATGGCTGCAAATTGCGTCGTCCAGCTGGTATGGTAGCGTTTGCCGAACTTCAAGATTCTGTAATTGATGATAGTCAACAATGCTCATCATATTATTTATTGGTGACTGATGTTGCAGCTGATACCGTAAAAAAATATAGATTTTTTTAACTAGTATTAGTAGTCAACTACTTATTAACAAAAATTACCTGTCTACTTAATTATGTATTTAAAACTTGTAAGTCAAAAAACAATTTTATGTATTGAATATTCTTTTCTCTTATTATTTATGTACTATGTTTTGTATAGTTGTCATTCTGTATTAAAAAAAAATTCCTGTTTTTGAAATTAATAGTTATCATCTGTTTAGAGAGATTGATATTTAATGATCCTATTAAATTTATTCAAAAGCTAAAAGCTCAATTTTATTTAATGTATCTACTTAAATATTAAGGCTATTATTTAAAAATGTTAATAATGTATGTAAAACATTAATTGGTTACTATTTTTCAAGTTTTATATATTGACCTTTATGTGCAAGGATTTATGCCACATTTGAAAACTATACCAATCATTTAATACGAGTCAGAATGATTGTAATAAATAGTAAATACTCTAAATATGTATTCCGTTGTTCATATTCTAGTCATATATATTTTTTATTATTCTTTACTATACTATAAGGTAAATAATGTATCCCGAGTTTAAAATAGCACTACTTAGTATAAATGTTCATATAAGATTTATTGTGTAATCATGTTTATGTTTGTATTAAAAAAAAATCATAAATAATGTGGTTATTTTATAGTTTATTTAATGATGATAATATAACACATCAAATTACTTATCATAACACTAACTTAGAAAAATACATGTTTTAATGTCAAATAAAGAAGAACAACTAAAGAACATTTATATTTTTTTTATTATTATTTATATTAATTTACTACCTCATTTACATCAATTATTTCGATTTTAATACTTAACAGTCTTGATACAAGATGAAATAATCGAGGCGGTTAAAATACAAAAAAAACTATCTCATTTTAATAGGGTAAGTATACACATTACACACATATACATTTACAGACACACACATACACAATACACATACACAGTCACACACGCAGACTGACATGTGGAAATTTACAATACTGTTTATACATAGTAAAAATAGTATACAGATATAAATTAAATATTAATTGTTGTAAGGCATGTTATGAGAAAATAAATATGTATTAACTGTAAGTTATTTTTCAATAGCTAAGAGACCAAACATTTATTTTCCGTGTATTCCTTAAAGTATATTAAGACAATAATAACATTACATTTTTAAAACTATTAAAACTAGATGCATTAATGCAATTGGAAGTATGGAAGAACTGGCTCCAAGGAGAGTTTTTGTAGCCTCCTCTATAAGTATTATGTAAATTCAGTGTACTGTCATAATATCTAGTTTCCTGGTTATGGTATTAAAGTGGCACCTTTGACTAGATGTTTATTACAATTATTGTAATATATGACAATATTTAATTACTACCATTTATAAGTCGTCAAACAAATTTTAAGATATCCTGTTTGGTAGTACAAAAATTAAATATTTGACACATCATTAATTATTCAAATTTTGTTGTTATTGGTTGCAATAGCTTCCAAATGTACTTTTTAAATGGTTTTTTCTTGCTATTTGTAAAAGACCTAGTGTTTTGTTAACAGTCTATCAATTGGTAACTTTGACTCTTGATATAAAAGTTAATTTCATACTTCGACATGCATTAAATAATTTATAATTAAGTGAATACACTTAAAGCTTAATTTAAGCTTATATTGTTGTCACCAAAATATAAATTAGTTTTTAAACTTAACCATATTATACACTAGCATTATTTACACATATTATATAGGTACTATTTATTATTATTATTTCACAAAAAATATTTTATTTCTTCTTATTATTTGGGATATAGTTATAGTTTTCTTTTAAAACTACCAATGAAAATCCAAACATAATATTAAAAGTTATAAATTAAAATCTATTAATTATTTAATATTAATTATAATTAGACACTTAGAACAACTAAAAAAATGAAGAAAAAGTTAAACATGTTCTCCCATATTTGGTCTTTTAACCACTAGTTAGATTCATATGAATCGACGGATGTTGTTGAATGAATAATGAAAATAATTCTGCTTATAGATTATGAGTAAAAAAAAAAAGGCAAACGAGATATGGACATGACCAGATGCTACTTCGTGATTGTCGGAAAAACTGGGTATGTTTCAATATTTCGATACAACTTAAATTTTATAAATAATACTGTGATTAGTAACCACTTGTATTGTTATGAGATTTCGTGCCAGTCATATGGGCCGGACCGTTGCCATTTATAGTGCGAACAGTGTTCTTCAACGCCTGACGTTTATTGCAAAACCAAATGCGTATCACTTCACGTTCGTAGCCCAATCTATGTGCCAGTCCAGTGATTTCAGATCCTGAAAATGGAAATGTATTTATATTAATAACACAATATTTAATGATCTATGATCCAAGAAGAAAAATAGTGTCGTTCTAATATTGTATTCTAGCTTAACAAAATTTGGTAGTAGGTAAATAATAGATATCATAAAATAATTTCACCAATTTCTTAAGGAAAAAATAGGGCATTATCTATTTATGATTTTAGATACCTACGTCCTTAAAAAAATTGTTTTAAATTTTTTCGTTGTTGGTACCTAAGTATAATTTTTTGTCGATAAATAATATCAGTAATTTTAGGTAGGTACCTATTAAGTTTATAGGTTTTTATTTGAGTGTAAGTGTTAAACTATTTTGGTAGGTACGAGGTACCTGCCTATTTCATAATAGGTACACTAGTTCAGTTTCGTAGACATTAGACAACTAGACACATTCAATACATTAATTAAAAAGTGTATTTTGTTTTCTCGAGAAGATAATGATTGTAGTTCTAGTGCATAAGCACATCATTATATAGGTACATAATAAGCCATAATTTAACGCCATGTTCATGTGATGGTCTTTATATTTTAATAATAGTATTTTCTTTTGTAAATACATGCACCATTAAATCAGTGACAATATTATGGGTACTTATTGTGTTCTAATTTTTTTAATTGGTTCTAAATATGAATTACAGGTTTATTCCTACCAACTCAGTGTTAACAATGGATATTCATATTTCAATTTATAATGATATTTGCAAGTATCTATGTTGAAGGTACCTACTAGTAAGTAACTATCTTATTAGTAGGTAAGTAAGCCTCACAAAAGTAGGTATACCTATTATGTAATTATATTCTTTTTACCTGATGGGTGTGTATTGCGTTCAAAATGACCGTTTAACAATTCTAGGGCGTGTGGTGTAAACGAAGTGCGTCTTTTTCGTTTTTTGCAAGACGCTAAGCTGTCGCCACCGCCACCACTTGATGATGCAGATACACCTCCACTCAACAATTCGACAGCTGCTGCTGCAGCAGCCGCTGCAGCGGCTGCATTATACCTCTGGTGATGTGAGTGACCACCAGTAATGTTTTTGTTGTTGTTATTATTATTATTGTAATAATACCTGATAAAAGATTAGGTACAAATTATTGCAACATAAACGAATAAATAGTTTTTACATTTTTACTTTTATTAGTTTTCCAAAATTGACTAACAACAAAATCATTTTGCTGCTAAATTAATTTTTTCTTCAGACATTACAAGCGACCTTAAAGTCCACCACCGTAAAAATCCAAATTATACAAATCTCATTTTTAGCTGCATTCTCTGCATATACTTTATATTTAAAATATTAAAATACCCCAAGGTTTTGCTTTACTTTGTATATCTATCGTTTTTTAGGTATGCCCCTTTTTCGCTCCGAATATAGTTCCTATGCTATTAATTCTCTTCAGTATTCCCTCCGATAACTATATGTGACCGGCCCATCTTAAATTGCTGTTCATCATGCAATCAGCTTTTTCTTTCTGTTTCCAGACATTTTGGAATTAGAATCCGTTTTCAAGCGTTCCTATTTTCGGTTCTATTCTTTCGACCGATAGTCTATTAGTTGTTCCACAGTAGCACTCACTACTATTGTCAACTTCAAACCTGTTAAATTTAACGGGTGTTTACCAGTTGCCCCCCCAAGGCTATTATCGCGTTTTTAAAAATATACCAGTTGCCCTCATATGTTAATATATACACAATACAATATATAGCTCGTAAAATAGGGGAGGTAAATATACAAACCATAAATAAAATATAGAATTCAAAATTATAATAATTTATCAACATGACATGTAATTTTAAATGCGTCCGAGTGGATATAATCATCGAAAACGTATGATTTGTTATTTAGTATGTTAAAAGAAAAATGCTCTGGCTTTGAACTTGAATTCAATCCGTCAATTATTGTATCCGATAAAATAAATATAAAAACAAAAATATTAGCAGATTCGATTTTGTAAAATCGGTTAGTAATTATTATAACAAAACATAATAGGTACTTTTGAATTTTATATTATTTATGTGTCGACAAATTATTATACTTTGATTTTGTACTATTTTATATTAACAAATTATTATAATTTTGAATTTTATATTTTATTTATGATTTGTATATTTACCTCCCCTATTTTACGAGCTATTATTGTATTTGTGTATATATTAATATGTGAGGGCAACTGGTACATTTGGTTGAGGGCAACTGGTACTTTTTCCTCTAGGTAGTCTGGGGGGGATTTGGTATAAAAAAGGTACTTTTGGGGGCAACTGGTACATGCCCAATTTAACTGTGTACCAAACATTTCTCTGACATAACTTGCTATTTTTGTACACTGTTATGATGAGAGTTCCGCAAGGTTAGATTTTGCCTTTAATTCGAATTTTATTTGATTGGCTTTTCCAAAGAACTTTTTTGTTTTACTTTGGTTATTTAATTCTTTTTTTATTCTATTTATATTATTAAATATAATATAGGCACCTACTTAAAGATAATGAATCGCTTACCTCTCCTCCATCATCCATTTCTCCAATACGGCTGGGTTCACTACACCCATCATGTTATTTGTTTTGATGTTATTATTATTGTTATTGTACACATTATTTGGTTTTTTAGCGGAGTTGCCACTTTCCATATTTTCAAATCTAAACAACACACACACACACATACATATTATATAATATGTATTTATGATAAATTCGAGTAGTAAGTGATGAGTAATTTCTTCTCTTTCTAACTAAATAAGCATCGATAATACCTACTCGAATGTTAAAAGTTAAATGATTAAATTTAAATGTACACGTTTAAAATAACTAGGTAATAACACTTTTATAAGTAATAGTTTGATATCATACTGGTAGTTATTATAATCATTCCTATTATTTTACGTAAAAGATAAATTCATTTTATTGTACTAAACTATAGAAAGTTAACATTTCTTACATTGGTTGTTGCGCAGCAGCGAGTTGTGAAGCACATAGCATGTGTGTGGCGAGTGCTCTGAAAAATGATTTATGAAAAAAAAAATGTTTAACTTTCTTTATGTATAAAATAATATCAGCATTAGTAAGTTCTTATAAGAGTATTCTTCATTTACGTGCAAATAGCGTTTTGCTGATTATATGCAGCCGCTGCCGCAGCAGCTGCTGAAGTTGAGTCCTCATCCTTGGATGGTTTTATGTGGCAGTTGAGTTGTGAAGATGGTGGTGCTAATGACTTTAAAGCGTTTATGGTGGCGGAAGACGTTGGAGGCGCAGGAGATATAACGTGAGAAGGCTGATGTGGCTGCTGTTTATCTTCTGAAAATATTATGCATGTGACGATTATGAAAATAAGTATTTACAATTTAAATAATGCATAATAGTTATATTATAATAATTATAAGTGTTTTCGTTTTACTTTAGAAAACACTTATATTAGTTACATACAAATTACAATGCAGTAATAATATACTGGCATTGCTGGAACTTATCCGGCGCACTACTGTGAGCTCAGATTAAATATTAAGTATTTTATCATTTTGCTTGGGAAATAATAGATTTAAGAGACATTTTTTTACGAATTTTTTTACTAACAATATTTAAATCTATGAAATTTACTTATTATACATTTAATGATAAGTTCTATATTTTTAAACACAAAAATCGGCAAAAAAACCATATTTTGCAATTTTCAACCACTTTGTGGCAAGTGGGAGGTAGTGTCAATCATGACCAAATTTAACTAAAATTTCTTATTGTAGTGAACGAAATGGGAAGGTAAGAAATCAAAAATATACCCACTTTTAACCCTACAAATAAGGAACACCTTATTAACGTACATACAGTACCTAGTGTATCTACCTAATGCTAGTGGTTCTAAAATCTATATTATGCAGGTACCTAGTACTAATCGATAGGTATGTTTATAAGTATGAAGTACCTACTTATTTGATGACTCCTAATAAATCAAGTAGTAAGTAATACATTTAGGGTCTTAGAAAATTACGAAAAATGTAGGTTACTACCTACTTAATCTACTGATTAGGATGCTAAGTTGTCGAAAAAAAGATTTCTATTAGTTTTTTGTTATTCCGAAAATAATATACTCTATTCAGAATAATAATGCTCAAATTTGCTGATGGATATTTATAATTGAGTCGCCTTCAGTTATCCTAGGTGAAGGTTAGTAAATACTCTGATATCACATATACTTGCCAGTATTGGTTCATACTATTACCAAAGAATAATGATAACTGTTGCCGGCTCAGTAAACAGTACCTATTCATGCGTACATTTGAGCATTGTTATTCTGAATAGAATAGAGTATAGAATGAATCTAGTATCATCAGTGGTAGAGTCCAATCATCGATAATTTATTTAACAAAAATTTAATAATTGTAAAGGCTGGTCATATTTTATAACAATGTAAACCTAACTGTATTATCGAAGTATTCGTTTTAACATATTGAAAATCTTTAATCAATTGTATATTTCCAGTTGTACCTGCTATTATGTACTTATATAAATATATTTAATATATTATGTCATTTTCAATCTAAATAAAACTTTTAATACCCATTAAATTTTAATTACAGTTTCTGCTATGTTTCTTTGAAGTTCAAGTTAAAAAATCATTGGTGTAAAATATAAATTAAAAATATAAAATACCAAAATGTTACCTTTTTCAAATTAATCTATGATCTTCAAACACCGCCAATAAGAACAGAGTTACTCGGGAAATGATGTACCTACTGCATTATATTATTACTATTTCAGATTTTGAATAAATCTATGTTTCTATATCGTGTTTGGTTGTGTAAGTTATTAACGTATAAGTTTTCAACAATTGTAAAATAACTTCTAAAACTTTATTTATATCAGTCCAAAAACTCAGTTATCAGGACTGGTTAGTGTAGTAGGAATCAACCAACCGACTATCTACTCCTCAACTTGATAGTATTAAGTATAAATATTGACAGCTTTTTTATTCAAAAGTACGAGGGGTGATAAGATTTGTTAGAAGCTTCGGGAAATTCGCCCCCAAAATTGTTCATAGTTAATGGTTCTAACGTTAACCGCACAGCACAGCACAATAACCGATTTGGGTTACGAAAAAAACTAACGAGTATTTGTTTTTATTGACTTATCGTATATTTAATTAGCTATGTGCTTTTTTGTATTATACTTTGCAAACCAAAGGGGCCGTATATGTTTATACTGAATCTTATTCAGTTAAGGAGTAGTTATTGGATAATTGCTAGTACCTACACCAACCGGGCTGTTGGATACTTGGATTTATACAAATAAAGTTATTGATACAAGTTAAGTCATATTTTACTGATCTTCATTGGCACTAATAGGTGGGAGGTTGGGGAGACTTAGTCCCCCAAATTTCGGACAAGTTCCCCCAGTTAAAAATCTAGTGACTAGTATTTATATTATAGCTTATGGGGAGGGGAGCTTGAGTCCCCCCCAAAAATTTAGTCAATTTGTGTCTATGCAGTGATCTTAGAAAAATATGATCTGTGCTTAAGGCTAACACAATTGAACACGATACAAAAATGTAGATTTATTTAAAGTCTGAAACATTATCAAAATAATACAGTAGGTACAGTATCACCCGAGTATCCCTGTTCTTGAGGTTATTGTTTGAAGATCACAGGTGTAGCACATTAAGTACGAACTGAATGAATAACTTAACATTACACATTAATGCAAATTATTATGATTAACAGAACCTTAATAAACCGGGAAAATACAATTTTAAATCTTAGGGTTTGCCTTTGCCATCGTTTGTATTATTTGTAACTAGCTTGCGAAACTCGACTGACTTGGTGTATATTATTATACTCGTAGGTACCCACTCTACATCCCCGCGTTCTGTTTGCCTAAGCGAATTTACCGGGTACGATATAAATACGACGAGCCAGTGTACCTTACTGGTAAATCGTTATACTATACACATATAGTAACATAAATTTAATCAGTTCGCAATTTCACATCATATTATTCATTTATATTTGTTCGTTAATCGTTATTACAGGCTTAGTGTCGTGTTATAGGTATTACAATTAAACAATACAAATATTATATCCTATTAAATGTAGAAGTCGGGTAGGACAATGATATTGGAATGAAAACATATATTATTCTTGAAAATGATTTTATTTATTAAATGGACCATGCAGAATGTGTAGACTGTCCAATATGCGCTAGTAGTATTTGGTACTAATTGAGTAGGTATTTAAAATTAATAAAGGCAGTGCGAGGTCGACTAATCATAGGACGTTCAATTAAATTTTACGTGTTACTTTTGTGATTAATGTACTCATATAATATAATATGCATTGTTGCAAATTCATTTTTAAGGATTTAAAAAAAATATGTATAGTTTATAGGAAGATGGAAAATAATATACAATATTAAATAGGTATTAACTACCTACATAATATTATATATAATTTTAATTTTAATCTTATGGGATTTTCAGTTTCTAAGCTCCATATTCCCCCAATAAATTATAATATATAATGATTGCGTTGTGTTCGTCCGTCTTGACTTTCGTTGTCTTGGTTACAGACATGAAGTGGCGCCGTTGTCCATTTTCAAGTTTTGGGGACATAATTGCTCATAATTATGATGGGTCGTACGAATAAATTTGAACATAGTGGTATATAATATATATGTGTTGAAAAGCTGATGACTGGGTACATTTAGGCGGGTTTTAGACTAGTTTTAATTACTTTCGGCGCCACTGCTTAGTCACCTATACTGTTATATTGATTTTATAAAAATATTGTTTAATGATAATAGCCGACTTTTGGCCAGCACTTTTGAAAGTGTATTGTTTAGATTTGTTTGCTATAACTCATCGTAGTGATATATATCTGAACACATACATTTTCATTAGGTTTTATTATATAGGTAGGTAGGTTGGTACCTAGGCTTTTTTCATTTTAGACATAATATATAAAGTTAGGTAAAGAATTGAAAATCACTATAATTCCCAGCATAACAAGATAAATCATTTATTTATTTTTCAAAGTCCTATCTAATTTAAGTTAAGTCAATTGAAAAAAAATCCACTTTTTGAGTTAAAATGTACTGTTTATAATAATTCGTTTAAAACATTAATTTGTCAAACTGCAGAATTAAAAGTAACCTTGTTAAATGTTTAAACTAATTTGGTTTATAATTTTTTTTAAATACTAAAATAGTCAAGTTATTTTATACACATTTCCATCGTATTTATGATCTATGGAGGTACTAGAAAATAAACTATGCTCAAATATTTTTTGGCTGTTATTTCTTATATTTTATATTTTATCAACTACCAATCATAACTAGGCAGAGGCATGTCCAAGGAGGAAGATTGGGGTTGTATCCTCCTCCCTCCTCATTTGAAAATTTCTGGACACGCCACTGTGACTAGGAATTGAAATGTATTTACCAAGATGGATAAAAATACTGATAAATGCATAGTTTTTTTTTTAAAGTTCAAAGTTACATAAGAGAGTAAAAAATCTTTGTAAAAATGAACTAGTTAAAATTATAGGTTGACATCTGACACATAACTTGTTAAGTTAAAAGTTATGGAAAACTCGGAAATCGCAGTAAGTTAATCATAGGCAGCTGTAAGTGTGCTTGTCGTCTCATGTGTAATTCATTAGCTTTTCACACTATTTTTATTTCATTAGTTTATTTTTTGTTTTAAATCCTTTTTTATTCATATTTGGTTTATTGTTACACAACTATTTTAATACATTTCTATATTTACCTTCATTTTCCGTTTCATCGCCACCATTATGTTGATCGGTTGTTGTAATTGCTGTTGGCCATACAGTTTGGCGTTGAATTACTTCTACACCTCCTCCATTACTACCGTCATTACGTCTGTGTGCAGGAGGTGACATTGGTGTCACAGCAGTAACAATTGAAGCAGCATTATTGGTTGAATAAATACGACATTCTCCATTTGTGCCCGTTGGTATTTGAACCATAGACGATTCTTTTGAACGTTGTACATTTATCGAATCACTGCTTTCCTCATTCTTGGCGCGCGGTAATAGCTTTTGTTGAGGCTGTGGACAAATATTGGAAATAACATTTAATTGCAAACATATTATAAAAACTCTTGAACGCAAACGTGAGGCGTATGTCAATTTCTCGTATGGTTTAAGTTGTTTTTTAATAATTGTGTATCGGTAGGTATTGCAGTATATGTGCATTACTGTGCGCAGTACTTCGAAAAATAACTAATTAGCGATGATATTGGCTTACTGTTAAAAAGTTGTGTTTTTTGCTATTAAGGTCTGGGGACTGCCATTTTCGTCGTTGAATATTATTATACTGATCTGCTGTAACTGTGTCATTATTAATCATATTACCATCGTCTGGAAAAAAATTGTGTAATTCATGAATAATTCTGGAAATTTAAACTCTAATGTAGTTCAAAAAAATAATACTTACAATTATTACTATCACTATTAACATTGTCGGGAGTACCACTGGTAGAAGTCGTATCATCAGCTGTAGTTTGATGCTGTTGAAAATAACGATTGAGTGGTAAGGATAATGGTGGTTGACAAGTTTGATTGAGCTGTTGTCGGTTAATATTTTTTTGTCGAACACTATTTGTTGAGTGATATAATAACTGTTGCTGTAATTGTTGCTGATTTGAAGTAGGAGTTGTGATTGCCGAAGAAACCATATCATTAATAGGAATGGCCAAAATTGTCTGAGTCATAATACCTATTTTATGTAATAAACACAGTTATATTATACATGTATTATTATACTATACACCTGATCAAATATTCATAAAAATAACAATAACAATTTTCAATTTTTATTGATTCTTAATACCTCGAGCTGTTGGTATTAGCAATTGAGCTGCTTGTAAGCATCCCGTAGTAAGTTGACCAGAAGTTAACAAAAGTTGAGGTGGTGGTGCTGTGATTTTATCATCCTGTTGTTGCTGCTTTTGTTTATTATTGGCAGAGGCAATATTCCAAGGAAATGGAACTTCTGTTGCTGGTATGTTATGACCATTGACCATATTTTCATCTTCATTAATGGAATTACCAATACCGTTTTTTTCTTCGCTATCGTTATCATATTCTCCTTCGTCGTCCTCACTCTTATTGCCGCCTTCTTCCGACGATCCTAAAATATATATACATACATAAATAATAATAAAATTATTTTTAGTTATATGTATCATATCTATAAATATTTGAATGGAACTCAACAGACCTTGGGAACGGGTCAAGTTCAAAGGCGATTGAGACAAACAATCATCATTACTAGTTTCACTGTTAATATCATTGGCTGTTACCATAGGATCATCAAAATCAGTGTCTACCACAGACGGAGTTTTGTCATTGATCGTTGAATTTTTATTTGGGTTTTTAATAGAACTTGACGGCAATATCGGTTCATCTGTTGCAATAATTAAATAATTAGTAAAATTGAGTAGTGTAATAATTAAAATTGTAAACAATATGTGACGTGGGAATATTTAACTAGGTACATATTTAAGCAAATATATACTGAAATAAATAATTAGCAATTTACTAAAATATCTGATACACCAGGTATACTGGTACAGAGGTACAGGTTATGAATTAAAAAAAATATATTTCATATTTTTGTATTACATTTTTGCTAACGAGATTTTACTACCTTAGACCTTAGTAGTTATAATATTATATTTGTATCTTTTTGAGGCATGATAAATAAAACACCAAACACCAGTAGTCTTAGTCTTACTTACGTAATATATATTAAAATACAAATAAAAAGCATTCCTTATAAAATCTAAAGATATATTTATTGTTATTTTACGATTTTATATATATAAATAAAATTAAACAATCGGTTGTTTCCTTTTGTTGATAATACGATCAAAGTAGACATTATATTATACTCATAATATATATTTTCTATCGAGAGAGTACAGATAAGTCTGATATTTCATAAAGATAATAAAAAATGTAATGTTTGTATACCACATCAAAAATCATGACGATGTCGTTTATAAACGTTTCGTAGAAAAGTACATTTGCAAAATAATATAATAACTATAAATGCCTTGTATTACTTCAGTTTAATCGATTTATTACTGTTCTGTTAAGGTTTAATTTTTAAACTATAAAGTGTTTTTCAGTATAAAATAACAACAAAATATGAGCGTTCATTGAATTTTAGAATATCTAATTATGTAACATAATATTATATATTTTTAAAGCCATTATTTTTATTTTGTAGATCATAATATTAAATAGGTACCTACTTGAAGGTCATTATTCATTTTTATTTTGTGAGGTCATGGTTGTTTTTTTTTTAAGTTTTGAACCCTAACAATAATCGTCACAATAAAGTTTATCATTAAACATTATTTACTTGTTATGTTGTAGGTTTCACTGTCATTATTTTTTTCAGAGTGTGTTGACAACGATACTGTGATTTTATCATCACTATTGGTTGCTAGCTGTTGTACAGTATGTCTTATTGCCGGTGTCATACAATTTCCTCCATTACTACAATTGTTATTATTGGCAACTGTAGTGGTCTGTTGATAACCATCCTATTTAACAAGAAAAATATACACATTTAATATTTGTATAAAACTAAAAGCTTGGTTTGGTAAATTGGTTATTAAAATGTATGTAAGAACAAAATTGCAGTATTATAAAAGTATACTTAAACTCATTAGCATGAACAATTGAAAAGTAAAATGTGTATTTTCAAAAATATTTTCCCTTTCACATTTTTTTTTAGTTAAACGAATAGGTAGCGATTGAGCCATAGTATTAACCACCTCATATTTAGCGCTGTGTGGCTACAGTAAATTGTAATACATGTGAAAAGCTCTTTCGATCCATAAACATACATTCTAAGTGCATACCCTTTATCGTCACCAGGCTACTTTAATGTCATGCTAATTTAACCTTGCAAACCTTATAATTTATAAGTATAAAACTAATGTAAATTATTATAATCTATTTAAATAAGTAATATAGTGTTACATTTTTTTTCTAAAACTTTAAGTTCTAGAATAATACAGTTATTAACTGACATTGTAAAATACACCTATCTATTTTAAACCCAAAAGTGAATAAACCATAATTTTTTTTGAAAATTATATCATAAAATCTATATGACTTTAAATGAATAGGTTATAAAAAAATGCATAATCTCCATAATCGAATATGAATAGTACTTCCAAATTACAGCAATTTTGTCAGTCAATTTTCTAAAAAAAAGTAATGAGAGAGCAGAAAATATTAAGATTTTCTCTTTCATATTGAAAGTAATTTGTTTTCATTGTTTGAAAACATTCATTTCCATTTTTTACCTAAGGTAGGTCTACATAAATATCTTAGAGTATGTAGGTATGTAGCCTGATACCAATAAGAAATTATATCATTGAAATTTCTGAAGTATGAGTTAGGTCACATGTTCACTCTGATTTTAATCAAAATTGTTTCATTCTATATAACCCCCGCATAGCACTTATGGCGATGTCATTTATGGGCTACTGATGTTAAAGAATCGGATAATCAACAATATTAAAAAAAAAAGTTGTGTTATTTTATAATTTATTTTTATATTGAAGAAAATAAATTATATTTTGATATATTATGTAAGAACTAGTATACAGACATAGATTTATCTTTTGCAGATCACAATAGTAGGTAATCAGAAGTTTCTTTTTTTCTTACTCATAAATAAGAAAAACATTTTTGAGCTCCCTCTCTAGAAAAATCTTATCTCCGGACAAATTATGACATCCTAGGAAATTACTTCTGCTGTCAATAAGTTAATTTTCTACTTTAATTAACATACTAATTAAATCAAGATATTGTAGAATAAAATATATTATTTATTTAAATATTTTATTGTAATGGTGATTTAAATAAAAATTGCAAACATGTTTAATAATATTAAAAAAAAAAAAACTAAAAAAATAAAGTTTATAAGTACAAATACAAACTTAATAAAAATAAAAATGCAGCTTCACGCCCTTATCAGAAAATAATGAGAATGTTGTTATTTCTAAATAATTAATTGTAAACATAACTATTTCGATAAAAAAATGCCTGAAAACTTTGTTAAACATTCAGTAGGTACCAAATATAAAAACATTCTTATTTCTTAGGTCTTTTAAGTATAAAACTTTTAACAGGAATCGTCGTTGGTACGTCAATGTAATAGTTGGCTGCGATGCTGTAATACGACGACAACAATAAAATATTTCTATAATATTAAAATAATATTTTAATTCTAACTAAATACATTTTTGTCAAGTTTTAATCGAAAATCATGTGAAAATTAACTGGCAACTTTATTTTGAAATTGTATAAAATCAGATGATTAAAATGACTTAGCTACAAAATTAACACATAGAGTTAGTAGTTATTAGTTATTAGCCGAGTTTGATATATAAGTAGGTAAATACCACTAAAATACACTTATACAGGGAAATCAAATTACTCGGCGAGTTAAAATCAATAAAGTTAGAAATGTTAGATTAGGTTGTTACTTGTTACAACATAAAACATACTGCCATTCGCATACGAAATACATTTGAAATAGTAAAAAATAATCAATTATTACATATTTGAAGATAACTAAATAACAAGATAGTGCAGGTACTAGTTTTTTGTTGGCAAAATAATATATATCATTAAATTATCTGCTATATTTATTTGTTGTCATTATTCACATTAATATAAGTTAAACTAACTATCTATACCTATCATGCATATAATATTGTGTATTTGTATACTATGCAGTGTTTAATCCGGATATCCTCCAGGCCGGGCATTTACCTGAAATTTCATTAACTCTCCCCTCCTGACAAATACAACTGCCAACGAAATGTATTTATGAAATATACTCGTTACGATTACCTAGAACTTATTTTATTTCTAAATTTTAAATTTTAAATTTTAAAATTGTTATTTGTTTTAACTAATAAATAATAAATAATAAATAACAATACAATTCATAATACTAAAATGTATGACTGGTGAAAAAATTGAGGCCCCCTCCCCCCAGAAATGTTGTCTGGATTATACACTATGTGTACCCACTATAAATTATAGAACATATTAGAAAATAATTACCCGTAGGTATATATTGTATACAATATTATCATATTGACCATAATTAAAAATCGATTATTTATCAATCGATAAATACAATAGCACTTTGAACCACTAAGTAGATACCCACTTATTTTATTTGTGTATATCTTCTTTATCATCCGTAGATAAATATTTATGTATTAGTATGTGTATAAATGTTTTAACTATAGTAAGAAATGGACAGTGGACATTATAATAAGATGATGACGATAATGATAATATTAATGCTCTGTAGTTTATGAAGAGCAGTTTAAAATAATAAACTATATATTCAGTGGCAGATTTAGAAGGAGATCTAGACAAAATAATACTCTCTCCTTTGTCACCGAGAAAATAAAACTTTATACAATTTCATCTATTCGTATTATACTACCTACGTAAATGTACACATACAAATACAACAGAATATTTAATAATATTATTTATAATTAGTGGAATGCACTTATGTGAACCTCATGCTACAACTATAATAATAATTTTAGTCACAATAAGCATATAAGTCACCGATTTCAATGGTCTAAAAATATATGATATTACTGATTAAACGGAGTAACAGATGAAAAAATGCACATAAAAAATATTTTAACATCATAATTGTTTTTATATATTTTAGACAGTGGATAAATCAAGAAATGTTATTAGCGCTGTACAATGATATTTTTTAAAAATGGTCTTTTGTGACCAGAAGGTGACAAGCGGACCTGTTTTCACCCAAAGTAATATGATTCATTGTAAACGAAAAAAACATTTTGTTTACCACTGTATTTCTTTTGTACTTATTGAAAATGTTATTTCAGCTTTTAGTTAATGTCAATATATATTTAAGTGTAAAAATATAAGTCAATGTAAAAAATGTAAATAATAAACATAATGTAAGTGTAAAACATTTTTAAAAAAAATAGTATAATAATAAAAAAAAAAAAAACTGTATTAGTCAAAATTGTGGTACAAGGATAAGTGTAATAAGACATATAAAAGCGAATTTATGGTTTTTTTGTTTATGATGAATAATATTGTTTTGGGTGAAAACTAAATCACTTTTTTCTGAGTTTGGGTAAAAAAGGTAATTTTGTCAAAAACCAAAAGGTCAATTTTAGGTCAAAAACATGTACGCTTTAGGTGATCGCTTTAAGTAGCCCATCCCTTAATAGGAAATCGAACAATAATTGGTATTTTGAAAGGGTAGTTTTCGATTTTGTCACTATACATATTAAAGAATTATTGTTTTTCCTAACGTTGAAGATACGAAACATTTTAGTACGGCATGTTTGTAACTAATCGTTAATCTAACGTAACCTTATCAGATCGGTTTTTAAAATTCCTTATCTGTTCGGACATTTTTGTGTTTTTTTTTAGGGTTGGATACCAGGATACACATACCTAAGTAAATAAGTTGATATAAATCATAAACGAAAATGTATACATTTATTAATTGTTGCTAGTATATTGCATGTTTGTTCCGATATGTAAGACTTGATTATAAATAAGAATACATTTTGTGATATGAATATACAAGTTCTAAAACAATCGAAAAATACAAAATTTGCATTAAATAATCAAATCTACGCTTCAGACACACCGTGGTCGCGTAAATACCTATCGTTATTTTATTTATTATTATCTTCGACATCTCTCATAGTGTTTTTCGTAAGTTCAATAACGAGTTTAAGGCTTGATATAATTTCATAATTGCTTGTCTGTAAAATATAATTACAGGTATACATCACCAAGTTATCTTGGGCTGGAACCCGCTCCCGTATATATATATATATATAGATATTATATGATCTATAGGTATTATTATACCTACGCCGCATGCGATTATAACGATTGTCGGGTTCGTTGCGAATTTCGCGTTGTACCTACATTATTATATGATAGTATAATAATTTAATCACCGATTCGCCCCCGTTGGATTTGATAACAATATGCTTGACACGAACTATAGAGGCACTCTTTTGCGGGTTAGTAGGAAGGGCCTACGCTCGACGGTCGCAATTACAAATCCCTGACCACAGGGTCTCGATAGGAATTTAAAAAACGCATAGGTCACATGTTCGAAAACAAAAAACCGAGCCGGCTCTTCGATGACGTCGACAACTACTTAATTTTGTTTTCGGTTGTTTCATTTTCGTTATTCTATGTTGGACTAATTTAATATTTCTATATAATATAATATATGGCTGGTACCTTGAATAATGGGAGCTATGAAGTAGGTGTATTCTCGTTTGTTTGTGTTTGTCGTTCAAGTGAGTAGGTACAGCCGTTTCGATTTCCAACGCAAAATATTTGATCAAAGGTAAGCGCTTATTATTGCGTATTATTAATTTATATCAAACATTCAAATGCATATACGAATATCGTTTGAAATTTGGAAGATATTTCCCACTCGCAAAGTTACCTAATATATTATATGTATACAGGGATATTGTAC